GGGGAACATAAACATTGCGCATGTGTGTATGCGGCAAAGGGGAGGTTTGTGGAGGGGGAAGGGGTTGGGAGAGCACGACTCGCCAACACTAGGACGCTAAAATGCACCAAACGAAAAAAAAAAAAAAAGGAAAGGGGAAAGAAAAGGGCACGTAGACGTAACGAAATAATGATAAAGTGGCAACGATGCTGGAATAGAACAGGGGAAAAACAATAATAAAACAGGTCACGCGCAATGCCAAACCATGGAGATAGAATCCAACAGGGTATTTTTGCCACACTGGCGCGCAAACCATCGTGCGCCTCTTTATTGGGTGAGCCCCTTTATTTGGGAAGGCGTTTGTGCATATTACTTTCTTCACTCCTCATCGGACGAGTCCAGTGATTTCATGTTGAGCACTGCGTTGGGGTAGAGGTCGAACTCTTTAAGCGCGTTACGCGTGCGCTGCAGCACGGTCTTGGTGTGGCCACAAATCAAATCAAACTTTAAGGGAACACTAATCTCTCCCTTACCACTCGCGGAGTTCTGCCCCAAGAACTCTGAACACTCGGCCCACTGATACACATCCTCTAGCGTGTGATTCAAACTGAACTTATCCTGTATTTTCATTCCGTTAGGTAACCTAATGCAGATTTTAGTCACCTTATCATTTGCTTTAATTGGTAAAGGAAATTTATTTGCCATTTCCCTTCTCTTGTTTTTAATATTTGTTTTTAAATGTAACCTTTTCATTTTTTCCTCTTCCTTTTTCTTCTTTTCCTGAACCTTCTCTTGATCCTTCTTAAGAGCCTCCAAATACTCCCTGTCCTGTTCCTCTCGAATCAGTCGATCGCTGTATGTTTTTTTTTTTATTTTATCCTGCTTTGCCTTCTTTGAATTCATTTGTTCAATGCAATTCGCTACCGTGTGCAAAATGTGGGTAGCTGTTGGGGTACCATAAATGATACACAGCTCCTCATACTCCTTCACATGACTAGTCTGAATGATGCTAATCTGAGGCAGCATAAAAACATTCAAGACGTTGCTCAACTCCCTTATGTCCCCCTTAGTAATGTCTTGTGCAAAGAAAACACAAGAATTGTCCACAAAGGATTTAATCTCCTCATTGTTAAAAATGGATTCACAAAAGTAACAACTGTCATTATTTTCAATGTGTAAATATACGAGAAGTAATTTCTCCTCCCGCTCTGAAACCTTAATGGCTTCACTTAGACTTCCTTTAAAAAAATTAATATGTCTCTTGCCGAACCTCTCCTCGTAGTAGGCTGCAAACGTATCTCTTTCAGGAGAGCTCACGATGTACGTGCTCACTAACTTTAAGCAAGCCGACAAAAGGCTGTACACACTTTTTACAATGGGGCATATTAATGATCCCAGTTGATTTAATACGTTAAACAAATTGGCTCGCTCGATTTTTTCTTCGTTCCGTTGATACACTTCATTTCTTGCTGTCCGTTGGTTCGTCGCTACTCCGGTTGGGCAGCGGCTCTTCCCGCGGTTTCTCACGGATCCGTTTCCTGGGGGGTCCTCCTTCACCAGGGGTAGAAAAAAAAAAAAAAAAGAGACAAATGACGAGCAGAGTGGCAAGCAGAGTGGCAAGCACAGTGGCGACGACACAGCGGGCAAGTGACGAGCAGAGTGGCGACGACAGAGCGGCAAGTGGCAAGCATAGTGACGAGCACAGGGCGGAACCTCCCCTCTTCTCACCTCGTCCAGGGCCTGAAAGTCAACCTGCTTCAGGTACGTCGATATCGCTTCCTGCATAAGGGGAGAGAGGGGTTCACAAATAAAGTGCACATCGGGTCCAGGACACAAAAATGTTCACCACCCCCCCCCACAGACCAAAAAAAAAAAAGGGGGAGAACTGACGACACGCCACACGAAGTGCCTCCTCATACGAGACGTACCTCCAGATTTCCCTCACAGGTCTTCAAAATGGACTCTGCCTCCTCCTCGTCCAACGAGTTGGTCACCTCCATGAACATCTTCACCCGCTCCTCCATGGTAGTGATGCCGGAGCGGTGATGGTAGCGTGATGATAAAGTGTAACGATGGTGCTTGGTCCGTTGTTATGCTCGCCTCACTTTTCGTGTCGCGTCTGCTTCGCTCCACGCGCACGGCCTTGCCCCTCTTCCTTTAAACCTCTGCACAACGTCAGGGGGCAAACCGCTCCACGGCGATGAACGAAGCAGTTAGGAACAATCGGCAGCAGCACTGAGGGATCAGGAGATGCAAAGGTGCAGTGGAGACAAACTCTCGAGCAAACTAGGATTCAGGTGAAACAAAACAGGCCTTGTGCGTCATATACACGATTATCATTTATTTTCTTTTTTTCCACTGGGAACTCGCACGCAGTTGGCCGCAAGCTGTTTGGTGATGCAATTTGATTTACTATTATTCAAATGGCTATTGCTGCACTTTTTTTTTTGTTTTTTTTTTTTTTTTTTACATTTGTTTTTTCCTTTTTTTTCTGCTATTTTTTTTTTTGCTATTTTATTTTTTTTTCCTTTTTTTTTTTTTTTTTTTAAATGGTCAATTATCCACTGCCCACTTAAAATCCGTTTGCCACTTTCGCCAATTATTATTTCTCACTCGCTTCTGCTCATCATGCGGAATTCCCCGGGGCAAGAATGAGCAGCGGCAGCAGCAGCGGGAAGAGGAACCGTCCACGTATATGCACTAGACGAGATACGCGTGTACCGTCGTGGCAGGCGATTGAAGTCTTAGCAGGTAGTATAAGTTTACCTCAATGCGCTCATCATGGTAAGTGACAAATGCGCTCCATGTGGACATGGGGGCACTGAGTGTAAAGGAGAGGTGACGACTGCCCGAGGTGTACAAAACACTTCTCTGCACGTCGGGACAAATGATCCTCCAAATGAAAAGGGAAGAAGGAAAAAAAATTTTCCCCCACCCACCCCTGCACAGTATGTTTTAGGCCACTCTGCGGTGTGTCGTCATCGGATTCAAAGTCTTAATGCGCGCAAGTGACTTCTATATTATGGTCAAATCGGCATGCCTTTTTTTTTTAAGTTTGTTTTTTTTTTTTTTTCTTCGCTCTTTGGCCGTCTCGTTTCGCTCGGAGAATGCCATTTGAGCAGTCCACCAGGGGAATGTCCTCGGGTGGTAGAGCAAAAGGGAAAAAACAGAAACAAAAGGAAAACAAACGAGTAAACTAACCAATCACATGAGTGATTCACCAAACACACACACTAAGCAAACAAAGAGGGGGAACTAATAACACAGCGGAACTAATATAACACAACGGAACTGTGCCATAAAGCCTGCTGCACAAGGACGCCCCTCGCCAAAGCGTGCAAAATCCTGCACACCTGCCCATGAGCAAGGGTAAAAGTCAAAAAAAAAAAAAAAAAAAAAAAAAAAAAAAAAAAACCTGCAATACTAGTGTAATATTCAACCCAAGACAACAATATATGAGGGAACACGTTGTACAAATTTAAAAAAAGGGGATACAGCAGCGGAGGATCAAATGGTGCAACGTCCACATGGGGTAATTCTCCCCACAAGGAAATGCTCAACTCGGGATGACAACAAGGGGGTGGAACACCAAATGGGTGAAACGAACAAAAAAAAGGAACAAAAGAAAAAACAGAAAAAATTTAAAGTGGGTATAGAAAAAGAAAAGCGGAAGAAAGTGTAGCGGCGTGCTCGATGGATCAATGCTCGAACAGCCGCACGTCTTAACTGGGTCATCACTTGTACATGTCACCATGTCTACCGGTTCATCGCTACGAGCCCAGCTCCGTTATAAGCGTGATGTTTATGCCCCACTGGCGAAAGAAGTTGCTCAGGTTCTTCTCCAACTTCTCCCGGTAGTCTGTAACCAGCTGTTGGTTCACAATGCTTATTATTATGTACCTGAGGTTCTTGGAGTTGAAACAAAAGTTTTTTATAAGAGGGATGCACACGGGCGACGTTATAATTAGCTTGAAGCACATCAGCCGGGGAAAGCTATTCTGAATGTAGTTGAAGAACAACGGGTTAGGGTTACACGAGCCAATAATTAGTTC